CTGAGGCTGAGAGAGTGTGACTTGCCCAAGGTCACCTAGTGGATTTCAAAACCAAGCAGGAAATCAAACCCTGGTCTCCAGAGTCATAGTCCAGTGCTTAAACATGTAATCCAGTACTTTGGCATGTCATGTCACACTCTCTCGGCCTCAGAGGCAAGGCTCCTCTGAACATATCTTTGCAAACCCCAGGATCAGTTCGCCTTCGGGTTACCGTAAGTTAGGAATGACGTGAAGGCACACAACAACAGGAAGCCTGCGTGAATGCCGAGGCTTTCTTCTTGATGCATGTTAAAAAATACGGAATATAATCAAGCAACAGATTGGCAAATTCTGATGGACTACTGCAGTGCGCTTTGCATGGGCCAGCCCTTGAAGGCAGTGCACAATACAGAAAAGCGGTCCAATCCAACGCCCAATTTGCAGGGATCTTCTGTGTGCAGGTGTTGCATCAAATGCAAAAAATGGAACAGCCTTGCAGCTTGAGAAGAATCTATTCCGAGCGGGACTTGGTGCCGTGAGTCTCTTAACTGTGATAAATGGCCCTGGGGAGGTTTCCTCCTCCTCGCCGAAGGAAGCTCCATCGAGGATCAGCAAAGCGTGCAAGGAGGAACACGTGTGGGTTGTGTCTCGCCTTCTGTTGCTGCCATTGCCGGGGATTAAAGAATTGCAGGTCTTCATTAGGAGAACAATTGAACTAACAGAGAGGAGGCTGCTGCACAAGGCGCACAGACTTAGAATCATCATAGAATCCTAGACTTGGAAGGGACCCCAGGAGTCATCCAGTCCAACCCCATTCTTCCATGCAGGAACTCACAATCCAAACTCTCCCGACCGATGATCATCCAGCCTGTGAAGTCGTAGGCTTTCATGGCCGGCATCCGTAGTTTTTTGTGGGTTTTTCGGGCTGTGTGGCCATGTTCTAGAAGAGTTCTTCTAGAACAGGGGTAGGCAACCTTTCCCCTTTAAGGGCCGAGGGACTTCAGCTCCCAGAATCCCAGGAGCTATTGGCCAACATGGGACTATTGGCCAACATGGCTGAGGCTTCTGGGAGCTGAAGTCCCTCGGCCCTTAAAGGGGAAAGGTTGCCTACCCCTGTTCTAGAACATAGCCGCACAGCCCGAAAAACCCACAAAAAACTATCATCCAGCCTGTTTAAAAACCTCCAAAGGAGGAGACGCCACCATCGTCTGGAGGGTCTTCCTAATGTTTCGGTGGAATCTCTTTTCCAGAAGCCTTTGCTTCCCTCCAGCCAGTCCCTTCCTCAGTCCTGGAAATGCACACCTCTGAGAAAGTGCAGAGTGCCTTTGGCTATGAATTGCACCAGGGTGGCGCTTGCAGGTTGTTCATTTCGTCTGCTAACTTTTCTGCAGAGCAACCAAATCTGTGCCTCCTGGGCAAATAGAACATTTAGATTGCATGTGTTTCCAAATGCAGGGAATGCAGCTGTTGGATCAAACACAGCGTACCCCCCAAAAAATGGATATATATGGGGAGAGGTTGCATGCGGCTAATGTTGAAGCATAGGAAAAAGGGATGGCACACAGCAAAAATGCGTATGGGGCAAAACATATATAGGACTGTTGCATACGTGGATATGGGAGACAGTTGGGTACTGAGAAGTGTGGATATGGGAGATATAGTCGTGTACTGGGAAAATGTATATATGGGAGGACAGTTGCATATCGGGAAACGTGGATATGGAAGGATGGCTTCATACTGGGAAATGTGGATATGGGAGACAGATGTACTGGAAAATGTGGATATGGGAGGATGGTTGTGTACTGGGAAATCTGGATAAGGAATGATGGTTACATACTGGGAAATGTGGGTATGGGAGACAGTTGTGTACTGGGAAATCTGGATATGAAAGGGTGGTTGCGTACTGAGAAATGTGTATATGAGAGACAGTTGTGTACTGAAAATGCGGATATGGGAGGACAGTTGCAATCTGGAGAATGTGGATATAAAGGGCAGATGCATATGGGGAAACAGTTGTGTACTGGGAAATATACATACGAGAGGATGGTTGTGTACTGGGAAATGTGGATACGGGGGAGACGGTTGTGTACTTGGAAATCTGGATATGAGGAGCAGTTGCGTACTGGAAACTACTGATATAAGAGGACAGTTGCACACCAAGAAAGATGGATATGGGGGACGGCTGCATACTGGGAAACGTGTGTACGGCGGAGTGGTTGTGTCCTGGCAAATGTCCAATAGAGGACCATTTGCGTACTGGGATATGTGCCTACAAGGAACATTTGTGTGTTGAAAAATGTGGATTTGGGGAAATGGTTAGGTTCTGGGAAATGTAGATATCGGGAACTGAACAATGTAAATATGGGGAGACCGGTCTTAAGAGAGCCAGCGTAGCGCGTTGGTTTGTGTGTTGGACTCCCAAGTCTGGAGACCAGGGTTCGAATCCCGGCTCGGCCCCTGGGTGGCCTTGGGCAAATCACACTCTCTCAGCCTCAGGGGAAGGCCAGGGCAAACCTCTGACCAAACTTGCCATGAAAACTCCTATGACAGATCGGCCTTAGGGTCGCCATAAGTCGGAAATGACGTGAAGGCCCCCCAACAGACACAAACACAGACACAGAGCGGTGGGTATAGGGAAGGATGTACAAGAAAAGTACGGCTGGACTCTGGTCAACCTCTGAGGAGCATGGTCAAGTGGAGGAGGAGAAGTGGCCATTCGGAGGACGTTTGCTGGAGCCCGAAGTGACCGTGGACGGCTGGCCCCCGCTTTGTAGCACAGCTTGCCTGGCGAGGGGAGCCTTTAAAGTCAACAGCATGGAGCCAACTGGAAGAGAAGCCAAGGTCTGGACAGCTCTCCCTGCAGGATACGCACACAAGACAGCCGCCATCTTGGCGAGGGAGGCCATCCTTCTCCCTCCTGCTTCCCCCGGTGCCATCTGGAGGCCCTAAGGATGCCTGCGTTTCCACCCAGAGATGATTCTGCCAGCACACAATGCGAAAGCCAGCCTCTTCTGCAGCGTGCATGAACGTCCTTTGGAAAGGATGCTACTACAGCCTTTTTTAGTTGCTGTCATGACATGGCAGGCAAGGCTTTGGAGCTCTGCTGTGGTGCGCTTATGGCACTTTATTGTTTTACTGATTTATTGGATTTCGAGCCCACCTTTCTCTTGACGTGAGCCAGCAGTGTGATGCAGCAGCTAAAAAAGCCAATGCAATCCCAGGCTGCATCAATAGGAGTATAGCGTCTAGGTCAAGGGGAGTAATAGTGCCACTCTATGCTGCTTTGGTCTGACCTCACCTGGAATATTGTGTCCAGTTTTGGGGTCCACAATTTGAGAGGGACGTGGACAAATCTGGAGGGTGTCCAGAGGAGGGCAACCAAAATGGTGGAAGGTCTGGAAACCACCAAGCCCTATAAGGAGAGACTTAGGGAGCTGGGTCTGTTTAGAAGAGAAGGCTAAGAGGCCATGTTTAAAAATTTGGAGGGATGTCACATTGAGGATGGAGCAAGCTTGTTTTTGATAAGACAGAGCAACGGATTCAAATTACAAGAGTCCACTTAGAGATTAGAAGAACCTAGTCTTTTAATCTTCTTTGTCATGCTCTACCTGGAGGACATTTTGGGATTCCTCCTGAACAGAAGGGTGAAAGGTAAGACATGTCCTGGAAAAAGAGGACAAATGGTTAACCTGGACTCAGTGGACTTCTTAGTCCTGCTCTATGTGGAGGACATTTTGGGATTCCTCCTGGACAGAACATGGAAAGTAGGATATGTCTAGGAAAAGGAGGACGCCTGGTCAACCTGGACTCAATGGGCTTCTTTGTCATGCTCTACTTGGAGGACATTTTGGGATTCCTCCTGGACAGAAAGATGAAAGGTAGGACATGTCCTGGAAAAGAAGGACAGATGGTCACTCTGGGCTCAGTGGGCTTCTTAGTCCTGCTCTGCGTGGAGGACATTTTGGGATTCCTCCTGGACAGAAGATGGAAAGGTAAGGACATGTTTGGGAAAAAGAGGACATCTAGTCACTTTGTAGTCAATGAGCTTCTTAGTCATGCTCTGCATGGAGGAGCTTTTGGGATTCCTCCAAGATAGAAGGTTTGAAAGGTAGGACACGTCTGGGAAAAGGAGGACACCTGGTCACCCTCTCCTTGAGGGAGCCCCAGGATGGTTTTCTAAACCAAGCGACCCTCTCTGGCTCCTCCAGCCCATTGCCCCCCTGCATTTCCCAGGCTTTTCCCACAAGCCCAGTTCTGACCCTTAAGGAAATCATAAGATCCCATGTCAAGCGA